TTCCTGTCCACTACCACTCGTTCCAGCGCCATTCTTGTTCAGTTTCACACGGCAATCACGCTTGACATGTCCAACCTTTTGACACCTCCAACAAACCAAACCTTTCGGTTTCTTGTTGGGTTTGTCATGGTCTTCATACTTGCACTTTTTGCCTTTCCCCTTATCTTTCGGGTTAGATATATTATCCTCAACCAAGTGAACATGAGCCAGTCTAGATTCAACTTCACCCATAATTTGCTCATTCTCTTGCGCACGAAGATTCTCCTCAATGCGCAAGTGACTCCCAAGTTGAACCAATGATAGTTCCTCATCTTGATGTTTTAAAGAACGTTTAAAATCCTTCCAAGAGGGTGGAAGTTTGTCAATAATACTCGACACGGCATAGGACTCATCAACACCTATCTTGTGGAGTTTAAATTGACCAAGAACACGAAGGAGTTCATTGTATTGTTCCATAACCGGCCTTGAGTCAACCATTTTATAATTATTAAAATCACTCACCAAGAACTTCTTACTAGAAGCATCCTCGGCGATGTATTTTGACTCAAGAGAATTCCACAATTCCTTAGTACTCTCAACGTTTTGGAAAATATCAAATAACGCATTCCACATACCGTTAAGGATGTGGCCTCTACATATGTAGTCATCGTTCTCCCACTTGTTGCGCCTCCTAGTTTGTTCTAAGGTTTCATCCTCCATCACTTCCGGCATCGGAGTGCTCAACACGTACACAACCTTCAAAGTGGTGAGGAGGAAGTGCATCTTCTTTTGCCATCTACGGAAATCGTTCCCTTGAAACTTGTCCAATTTGTTGAACTTGGATGTCATCTCTTCCATGGTACTCATGATTATCACAAAGGAAATATCAATTCGATTGTTGGGGTATATCACGTAGGGGGTGATAATCGAGTACTTGGATTGCTTAAGGATCGTGTAAGTTCACTTTCCGAATTGATATTTCTCCCCTGTGCCTGGGTTACAAGAAATTCAATCTAGGATAATTCTTAAGGACACTCTAGAACTTAGGCACAAGAACTAGAGCAAACTAGTCGAGTATATGGATTGTTATCTTTAATTTGAGTGCCAAAGTGATGAAGATATGTTGGATATTATTCCTCTACCTCCTCTGTACGAAATATGGTGGTATATATCCATATTCATCGTCCTAGGCAATTGTAACACGATTAAGAATAACCGCAGCAGTTTTTGGGAAACTGCTGGAAACTGCCTAACCGTTCTAGAACTCGGTCTAGAACCACAGAGCTGGTCTACTGAAAGTTATACCTCGAGTTCTACCTCGAGTTCCACTAACGTAGACACTTTGGAACTAAACTAGTTCTTATATACAAGTGTGCACTCCACACCTACTAAGTTGTATTAGATCATAGTTCTAATTCCCATTGACACTCATGTCATTTCCAATTACACAAAACGGCCGATGACACTAAAATCACCAACACCACGTCTGTTGATTCCAGCAATGTATATAATCCTCTTCCCGATCAAATCGAACTAATACATGTTTTTTTGTCTAACGGACCCAACTGAAAACCCCCCTTAAAACCAATAACTTGGAATGATTTGCGTAGAGTAGACATAGGTAGACGTCCCTTATAGAAGTAACCAACCAATGAACGTTTATGTTTGTTCGCCAAGATTTGAATATAATTTTCCAAAAAAGTCATAGCGGGCATACCTTTGTAAAAGATTGAGTAGTTGATGATAGTGTAGCGTCTACCTTATCGAGCAAAACTAAAACAAAAGAGTGGTTTTTTTGCGCCCAATCATTCCCCAGTGGCGGTGGTTGTGCCAGAGACGACTAAGCCGCCTTGGCTGAAGTAGGGTTCTCCGTCATCTCTCCTTCAACTTGTTCCTCTGCATTATGAAATAACTCCTTTTTAAATAGCCCATTTGACCATTCTGTCTCTCTTATTCGTTCTTTCATTCAGCTTATTGCTAGTTAATTTTCCACGAAAGATCTAGGTGATCTTCATCATTTTGACACATGTTTGTTTCTTTTTTCTGCAAAAATACACATTTGATATTCTTTCTCGGTTACTATACATTGAAACTCTCTCAAAGTTGTATGCGCTCCTCTTGCTACTCGTACCACAGTGCCACACTGCCACTCTCTCACTGATGGTGAGCTTGTTGTAGATGTCATTGTGTATGGCAGTATGGTAGGTGCATTACAGTATTTAACTTTGACACAACTTGTGTGTTGTATCTCTCACACAGCTTGAGGGGTGTAATAATATACTACTTCCGTCCCAAAAACTTTGTCATTTTCAAAACTTTGACTGACTATCTTTTTATTGAAAATTATTTATAATATAAAATTATATGAAAATGTTATTTGTTAAAAGCACTATCATAAAAGAATAAAATTTATAGCGTCCATAATATTATACTTATCAAAATCAATGTTCAAATTTTTGGAAATGACAAAGGTTTTTGGGTAGGAATGCTCAAACAAATGTGGGTTAGGGGAATCCGAAGTGATATGCTTTTTGTTGGGTTGGATGAGGGTATGGCTTTAGAGAGAGTAAAGTAGAGGGCGGTATTCGTGTGGAGGAGTGATCTCGTATTATCTTTTTCCCTCATCCTTTTTTCTTGTTTTTTTATCCTTTTATCCTTATATATAAACATTATTTTATCCTGTTTACTTTATCATTTTTAGGTATATTCATCTCTTTTTATATTATCGTGGAAAATAATAGCTTATCTTTTTATCTTTATTTTCTTTCTTTTCCTTTTGGTGGTGATATCATGTTTCGATTCATGTTAGCCGACCCCAATTTCTTTTGGGACTAAGGCTTGGATGTTGTTGTAAAGTTTTTTGGGACGAGGTAGTACATAATAAGGATTATTTATGTAAATGGCCCGGAGGACAGAGCTGCGATGATTGCCTCGGTCGACTGCTGCAGTGCTGCAATATTGCCTGAACGCAAACTGCGGACTTGGGCTGGTGCACAAGCTAATACAATTACTAAAAAATTGGGCCTTTTTTTGAGGACCTATGCAGTGGCACGGAATCTCCCCGGCCCGGCCCTGCGACTAATCCACTCAATCCAGTGGTAACCCAGACCATGGTTTGAATGAACATAATGTTTGATTCAACTTAACTAGTTTTTTTTAACGAAACTGGTTTAACTTATTATAGCAGAACGAAAGCAGGTTACAAAGTGACAACTATATACGCCATTGTCATTACGAAATTGTCATTTGTCATTTTATCATTACAAATATATACACCATTGTCTCCTACTAGAGTAACCTGTTTTCATTATTGCATAGAGGGCTCTTCTGGTGGTAGGCAAGCCCGCGTCGACAACCTCTTATCGTATTGGTAAGCTATAGAGCAATATTATACTTAGTGCAGGTGTAACTAGGGTTAAACACGGACGTGAGATTTCTAGTTCGTATCGAAGAATCTTTCTCATTCATTCCAATACCAAAAGAACCAGAAGAATGTAGTATCGTGCCGTACCAAATCAATTATTTTATATCATACAATACGATATCAATTCTTCATTGAATACCGATCTAGAACTAGTTATTTTATACTCCCTCTGTCCCTTAAAACTTTATCAACTACACAGTTTTTACTTTATTAATCCATGTGACGGTTAAACTTGACAAAATTTTAAGGCACTGAGGGAGTATGACATATATATTGTGTATCATATTATACATCCTACTCCCTCCATCCCAAAAAATCATTCTCACTTGCCATTTTGGGATGTCCCCAAAAATTATTCTCATTTCACAAAAAATTGAACATCTAAATATTGCTTTATGATTTATACTAAAAGTTGGTAAAAAAAAATGGGATATGTTCTATATATATTCGAGACGATAATGATTCTTGGATTTTAAATGGTTTAGCGTATGGCATAACATTAGTATGTATGTTTCTTCAGCTTGAGCCCTCAGTTGTGAATACAACTGGGTTTATGCATACGGCATACCATTTCTCATCTGGCTGCTTTTCTTAGTGCTTGTTTTTACATGGAAACTTTTCACGACTACACCCCAACATTATCATTATTATTATTAGGGAAAAGTATCAAATCAACCTTCAAGCTAACTTAAAAAGTGCAAATCACTCCTTTTATAGGAGGCTCGGTCTGGCCGTCGCCATTTGGGGCGGTTCGCAGTGGAATTTTTTGATGAATTTTTTTGATCTTCTTCATTAAGTCTAGTTTACTCATACCAAATTTCAGCTAAAAATTCAATCGGGAAGGCAGTCAAATGAATTTTTGAAGATAACTGCACAGTTAAACAGCGCGGTATATTTCAAAAAATCATTTGACTGCCTTCTCGATTGAATTTTTAGTTGTTATTTGGTATGGATAAACTAGTTAATGAAGAAGATACTCAAAAAAATCATCAAATATTCCACCAGAAACCGCCCCAAATGGCGACGGTCGGACAAAACCTCCTATAAAAAGGGTGATTCGTATCTTTCAAATTAGTTCGAGGGCTGATTTGCTACTTTTCCCTTATTATTATTATTATTATTATTATTATTATTAAGCTTAAATATAATGTGGCAAGGGTGTCAATCTCACAGTCCTGCTAGGTAGGGGTGGACCCGGGCCGGTTCGGGCCCGGTTCGGGCCTGGGCCCGGCCGGGCCTCGGGCCAGAAAACTGGGGCCCGAGCCCGAACCGCCGGTGGCCGGTTCTGGTTCCGGGCCAAACCGGGTCGGGCCAAATTGGTCCTTTTTTTTTGTTCTCCTATTTAACCCCCTACCCTTCCCCCTCAACCCCAAACCACCTCAAATGGCCCAAAATACCTAATCCAACCCAAAACTTAAAAAAAATTCAAAAAAAATAAAAATTAAAATCCGGCCCGAACCGGGCCCGAACCGGCCGGGCCGGTTCACCTAAAGCAGGGCCCGAGCCCGGACCGCCCATCACCCGGGCCAGGCCAAACCAAACCGATGGACCCACCGGGCCCCGGGCCGGGCCCCGGGCCGGTTCCGGGTCGGGCCGCCCGGGCCGAGTCCACCACTACTGCTAGGTGCTCACAGTCTGTAACTTTTATCGGCTATTCCATCAACCCTCTCTCTATTTTCTTGAACAGAATCTGATTCATTCCATCAACCCTTTCTCTCCCTAACTAACCAAACTTCAATCCCTCTTCATGTATATAACACGCACAGGATGAATCTCAAGAAATAGGAAGCTCTATACAGATGGCCATGCGCTTGCATCATAAAAAAAGTATGGTGGGTGAGTAGGAAGTAGACATTCTTATGAAAATGAAACACAGCAATAGAAGAAAGCTCAAATTAACTTCGCCACCTTCTTATGCCAAATAATTATAATGAAAATAGTAAGAGTAAACATATTTTAAAAGCATAATCCAGTAGAAGCGAGCATTCAAAATTATATCTCTATGAGAAGATGAGCTTTGTTACCTAGGGGAGAGAGAGGGAGGGAGGGAGCTAAGCCAGGAATCTCTACCAAATACACAACTAAAGGAACTTGTCTAGTTTCCATTGCTTGTTAGAAGCAGGAGGCCGAAAGCTGTGTAGGTGCAGACTGGAGCTTCTACATAAGTCACTCAGTACGGATTCACCTTTCTCCGTTTTAATAACCTCCAAAGCACTTCCAAGAACTTCAGCAGCAAGCCCTATCTCTCTAAGGCGCCCTTCCTGATACCCACCTACATATATTATGCGTCCAATTTCTTTTAAAGAAATCACATTTTCTAAAATCACTTTGGCGAAGAGTCGGCCAAGAAACTCTGCTGCTTTTGGAGCATCATTTACTGCATCCTCCAATGACTCGAGAACACACTCAAACCTGCCATTGTAGAAAATCCAGCCAACGTTCTGGTCAAACATCACGAAGTTCCCTAGAAAAATACTACCTCCGTCCCTTTTTATTTAGGGATCTTTGACTTTTCCAGTCAAAAGTAATAAACTTTGATCCATTATTTTAACTAATATATTTATGTGAAAGTTAATAAATTTATACTCTTATGATGGTTTTTTTAACAAAGAACATTTCCATATAATTTTCATATTCTCAATAGTACTGTGTATAAATATATAGTCAATCAAAGTTGAACAACTTTGACTTGAAAAATAGTATTTGGCTAAATAAAAAGGGATGGAGGGAGTATAAATACAACAGCAAACATCCAAGCTTTAGTCCCAAAAGATCACAGGGTCGGCTAACATGAATTGATACATGATATCAGTGACAAAAAAAAGTAAGATAAAAAGATAAGGTATGATAAAAAAGATTAAAAAAATAAGATGAAGACAAAAATAATAAAATAAATAGATATTCCTATTATTCCGTGTTGATAACAGAACACTGCGCAGGAAAGAATTTCCTGTTGTTGGAACTTGAAAAGTATTTTCCGGAATATTGTTTTCCTTGTTTCTTTTGACTTTTGTAGAAAATTACTTCATATTTTCAAAAGGCAATTTGTTTTCAGGGTACTGTTCTGATTTTCGAATTCATGTGGGCCAAACATTAAATTACACATAAAACCACTAGGTCTCCACGGCCAAACATTTTCCACATGCAACTTCCCTGAAAGAAAAACGGAGCCTATGACTAAAACAACTTCTTACCCCTTAATAAGCTGGTCTTGACTTAAGATAACATCTTGAGATTTGATCAAATCAACAATAAGCTCCCCAAAAAGGTCCCTCTCATTATCCTTCCTCTCAAAAGAATCCGTAATCCAAATAGAAATCATTGAGGGATAAAAGCTCGGAGCATCCAGTTCTTTCACACACAAGGCAACCTCATTCTCATCTCTAGCACTGCCAATCAGAAGATCTTTTGTTATTCGTAGTTCAGGATAAAATATATGACACTAGGATACAAGATAAAATAATAAAGCATGAATTCAATAATAAATTAATAATACCTGTAGAATTCTCTAATAGCACTTAAGGACTTGCCTCTCAGGTGCTCTTCCACTGGCAATGTGCCATCCGGAGGAACACTTTGTGCAAAGCTAGTCCCCCCACCTCTCAATAGAGGTGATGTGGGAGTAGTAACCGTATCAAAGTTGCCACCCCGACTCCCCACATGAGGCATATTCTTCTCTTGTGTTCCGGGATGGTCATGTTGACTAGAAAACCTCTCTGGCATGTACTTTGGCGCCATATCCTCTGTTTGTCCATAAGTCGTTGTCCGATCTAGCACAGGACTATAGCCATTCGGACCGGATGCAATTCTTCGTGAATCAGCTGGATTCATATGCACATCTGTAGTTGTGGGGACACTAGGTGTGCCTCCATGTCCTCTAAAAGACATACCCCTTCCAAGACCACCTTGGGGTCCAAGCGTGATCTCATCACCAACAGATCTCTGCGGTAGAGGAACAGAAAAGGTCCTGTTATCAAAGGAATGATGTCTGTCCTCCATTCTAACATCCTGACCACCAAAACCACGCATCTGTGAGGACACAGGTCGAAAACCACCACCCATCTGGGCCAAGCTTTGAGAAGGCAACATACTTGAACCACCTCTGCCGGAAGTGAAGTCCATTGGCGGACCCCTTCTAACAGAAGAGCCCATGCTAGGAGCCCGAGACATTCTACTAGCTTGTGCATGCCTTTCCTGAGCTGCGTCCCTGTGCACTTCTTCAATCTTTTTCGGGCCTTCAACTTTTCTCCGCTGCTGCCATTTGTTCTTCCTCAAGTCAATTGCATCCTTCAACATGAACCTCACCCTGGATGAGAGTTTCATGTTGTTTGACAAGTTTGACATCGCATCAAAATAAAAATCGATATGCTCCTTTGCTTTAGGGTGATCTATCATTTCCCCAATTGTGCTCATTAGCTTACACAGTGATTCAATATTTTCCTCGTCAGGACTCTGATACTCACCTAACAACTTAGTGATGCATGAATGCATTATCCTCTCTGTCAACATTCTCTTTTTGTACAACTCTCCGATCAGCCTGATGTTTCCTAACATCCGCCTCCTGGCTTTTAGCCTTCTCTCTTCTCTCTCTTCATCTGAAAGTTTCGTTTCACCATCCCCATCAGTGGTATTATTAGCTTCCTGCTCCTCTCGTTCTCCCCTCTCAAATTCTTCCTGACACTTGTTCAGAAGCAGCCTCTTAAAAGTGATCTTCTCATTGTCTACACTCAAATCAGGTAGCTCTGATGCAAGGTGTTGACAAAAGTTGGCATACATCTCACAAAAAGTGGGTTCCATCAGCGCCTTATCAAAAATTTGTGAAATAACACCAGTGAGTGTAGTCACATTATCAATGTTTACTTCTTTAACTTGTTGGAATAATTTTTCAAAGTTTTGTGGAGTAAGCTTGTTCAGAATTGCTTTTAATTGTCTCTGCTTTGCTTGTTCCTCATCTGTAACTTTACCGACTTCATACTTGTTCTCAGCTTTGTGCATTAATTGTGACGGGGCCTGAGGAGAAGGCATTAAACCCTTTTGGAAAACACTTCCACGTTGCCACCTATCAGAATCAACACTATTTCTAGGAACACCAGCTCCAGGAGCAGCCATGGACTGCATCGGCCCAGTAAGGATGCCCCCAGCATAATGAGTAGGTGATGGTGCACGCGGGTTTCTCAACACACCATAATTACTGCCTTGCCCAGGTTGGAATCCTATAGGATTACCTCCATAAGCCAAATCAAGCCGCATATCCCTCACAGATACACCAGATCCACGTAATTTGTTCCACTTTTCTTCTTCTATCATGCCATTTCCACGACGGTCTGGTCTAGACACACTGGATGGTCGATCAATTACCCTACCTGGACTTGGGTAAGAATCGCGTGAAAATTTGGCATTAACAGCCATCACTGTCTCTGCAATGTCGGAAGTTATCTCAAACCCCTCTGGGAGATCATTATGTTGATCCGCAAATTTAAGTAGAAAATCTCTTGAATACTTCTTTGTTCCAGTCGCATTACTATCATCGCCATAATTCCTGAATCCATCAACAACTTGCTCTCCAGTTCCTGCACTTTCCATATTTGGACTAGAAACATCAGCTGCATCTTCCCAATCATCAGGTTCTACTTTAACCATGGTGTCTTTCTTTCCCAGTGAATCTTGTGTGACTTGAGAGATAACAAGATTTGAATGGTCATTAGTGGCGCCATCCATACTTTCTACATATGTGGCAATTTCTTTCTTTTCTTCTGGACCCTTATATGCCATATAAAGATCAGAACTTGCACCAGCAGCATCTGCTTTTTTAAATAATTCTTTCTTTTTCTTCTTTACTCTAGTAGTAGTACTTTTTTGCGCATTCTGCTCTGTCACAGATTTTTCTTTGGCAAATGAACCGGTATTATTATTTTCAGCATGTCCATCTTCGCCTTTTGAGGCTGTCATTGAATGAGACTGAAAAGACCTAGATTCAGACTCCTGATTTTTAAATGAAGATGTTGTAACAGCAATTTCTTTACTACCAACATGACCATCTCGAGCAGATGCATCTATCTGTGATGGTGTATCATCAGATTTCACATCATTTGACATCAAAACGGATGATGATAAACTATGATCTTTGCTATGACCTTCAAGTGAACCAATCGCAGAATCATCAACCATTCCAGCAGTAGTTTGTGTTGAGGTGTCATAATCTATCGAGTTAGTAACTTTCGATAGAAAGTCTTCCCCGATTCGATCGGCAATTTCTGAGGACTCCAAAGAGACTGATTCCAAAGAAGATTCACAGGGATTGCTATCTTGTTCAAGAGACTTTTGCATCTTCAGTTCTATGTTATTTTTACTCGAACTTTCGGTCATTAAGGGATCACCTTCAAGACTCATTGTGCTAGAGGGGTTGGAAGAAGACTGTGATGGGCTACCCTTGCTTTTAGCATTCATAGCATCCAATGTAGAATCATAGAGGGGTGGCGATTCCTCAGTAGTGTCTACACTGAAATTATTCCCCAAATCAGGCATATCAACTTCTTTCGTTGATGGTGACTGAGAAGACATAACTGAAAGGTTTGAAGATTCTTTGGCATTCTGCAAACTCAAAGCAATAAAAATGAATGCTAAAAGCCATGGACAAGCAGAGTAAATAAATGAGGAAACTGAATACCTGATCCTGCGTGGATTGATGGCCTCTATGGGAAGGCTTTTTCTTCCAAACTTCAGACGCATCTTCAGCAGTAACATTTGGTGCCACTGATGTAGAACTCTCAACCAATACTGCAGACGTTGAAGATGAACTTGATAGTGCACCGTCCAGACATGAACTTAAAAGTACAGTGGATTGCTTACCAATCGCAGGAATTGATGTAGAGACTGACCCATCACCAGGTTTCGAAACAGTTAGAGAACTATGAGATGAAATCTGAGAATCTCTTTGTGGGTGACCAGAAGTAGCTCCATGCAGCTTTGAGTGTTTCTGTGAATCCTTTCCCGTGGGTGAACTTACTGGGGGTAACTGTTCTTTTTCTCCGTATGCACCAGATGCAGGTTTAACTGTCACCTGCAGGAATTAATAAAGATAATACAAGCTTATATATCATCCTGTGTGATGCAAAATGCTATTGAAATAATAGATCGGAGAAGCAACTGACCTGATTATATACCCTTGTGGGCTGAGAACCCTGTGCGCTATTAGGTGGGAGAGGATTCGGATGTTGGTAACTGACATAACTGCTATATGAACTATGCTGAGAGGATGGGAATGAGGAAAGAGACTGTGACTGAGGTGGTATATTATTATGATGAGACCTTGTAGCGGATGATCCATCAAGTCTCAATTCTTCATGTGTTTCAGGATGAGTGATCTTTACAGGTATGCGTGTTCCACCAAATTTTCCGGCTTGCTGTTGAGAAAACTGTGGAGGTATAGCCATTCCCATATTTCCCAACTGCGGGCTCATTCCAGATGGAAAACTCAATCCTTGTCCTTGATGAATGATTCCTTGGGATTGTATGGTATGAGGTGGAAAAGTTGGAACATACATGGGCTGCGGCAAAGGAGGATTTCCAAGTAGAGGCACTTGGACTGGAATCGGGAAAGATGATGCTGACATGGCCTGAGATTGAATTTGTGGAGGACCGAATTGAACAGCGTGAGGTCGCGGGTGAAATGGTATTTGCACATGCATCCCAGGCATAGGATGAGCAGTAGCAGTGGGCGCCTTTTGGCTTTGGGTCAAAGGAGACGGAACTGTAACTGTAGCATCCCTCTTTGACCTGGCCACAGCTGGTTGAGCTTCGCCACTGCTAGTTTTGTCAACTGCTGTGCTTTTTCTTGGCAGTGGCTGCTTAGAGATTGATGGCGGAGTTGGCAATGCAGCAGGTACAGGCACCCTTGAAGACTCATGGTGAACCTACAGAGTAAGTATACGTGGAAAGTGGAAATGGAAAGAAAATTTCAGCACCGTAATGTGGAGTTAAATTTAACATTAATTTTACACAAAGATCATATGTTCCGTGTCAAGCAAATCAGTTTCCAGTTCCTAAATGATGAGGTATTTGAGAATGACATTGAAGATGATAATAAAGTTTAATTACAAATATGACTAAGTTAGCATGAGCAGTAAACCAAAAGGAGAGAGAGGTTCATCTCTTACTAATACCCACTCCCATAAGTTTCTAAAACATGGAGATTATCAATGAATTATATACACTAATTATCAAATAATAAAATAATAAAAGAAATGGAAGTAAAACAATACCTGGTCACGTTTCTGCTCATCCAAGTTTGGTGGGGCTGAGCTTGTTCGAGCAGGTACCTACAGGCATAGCATAAAGACATTTTATCAGGAGAAATCTCAAACTAACACAATACCAAACTGCATGGAACTTATAATACCTGCATCCCATTCATAAAACCAGGACTTATTGAACCAAATTGAAGAGGGAAGGACCTTGATACATCTCCATGGGCTAAAACATCATCAAAAAGTGATTATAAATTGGATCACGAAACTTGAAAATCAAAACAAAATCCAGAAAAGTTTAAAGAATTAGATAAAATTATTTTCATCTACTCCATTCATCATCCTTTGCCAACATTGTCTTGCACGAGGTTTAAAGAAGTGGAAATTGTGAATTGCAGTTTGTGGAGAGAAGAGAGAAATATATAATTGCAGTTCATGGAAATGAGAGAAAGCCAATACAACCACAACTTTTATCCTATTATAAGTGGAAAATTTATCTAGGGCGGCCACAATAGGAAATCCGGCAAAGTATTGTGAGATGGAGAGAGCACCTAATCAAAGAAAAATGTTTCTAGAAGAAGCATATATAAATATTTAGCAACAGTCTCATTCAGCACACCTTTAGCTGGAGTGGACGGTGCATTAGAGACAGAACCAGTAGAGTCAACACTAGATGATGGAGCAGTTGGCACAGATCGCACCATTTTTTGAGGTGCTTCATCAGTGGGCTTGGAAGGAGTAGTAATTGATGAAGGTGCACCTGCAATGGCTGCACCTGAAATAATTGTGATAAATGATACATGAGGAATGCACAGAATCAGTAGGTGGTTAAGAGACGCAATGGTGGCTAATAAAGACTTCCAACATTTTCATCCACCAGTTGAAGAAGAATTCAGGAATATGATTGCATACCACCCAATGAATGTTTCTGGTGAGCACCATTCTGCACTGCTCGAGCTGCAGATGGAGCATTGCCCTCCGAAGTAACATTCACACCACTAGCCCTAAGCTGTCCTGCTGGTGCATTACTATGCTTCCTATTAAAGCTGATGTTTAGGAAAGGTATAAACATCGATCAAACAATTCATAGTGAGTCACACATGAAAGAATAATCGTCACAGGAACCCTAACTTCTCCATACATCATCATACCCTCAATTTTTCTAAACACACTAGGCACACACAATTAACACATATATAACAAGAAGCCCGAGATCACCTTCTGCTGGATGAGAGGGAGGGATTAGGAGGAGCGGCAGAGCCCACCCCTCCGCCGCCGCTTTTACCGCCGCGATGCTGATTTGAGCTACTGGGACGGGTGGTCTTCCTGTACTGATAAGAGTCGCGAATGTCAGCCCTTGGTTGATGGTTGGACATATATCCAAACCCGCGGAAACCGAAATCTTTTCTGCGCACACAGATCCACCGATCGATTTAACCAACGTCTAACTCAGGTCGGTAATATACATAAATATGTATAAATATGTATGTATTTATACATGTATGTATAAAAACTGGAACAATAAATGGCCGGAATACAAATACAATGAGAAAAGTTTTCAACTTACGCCGGAGTCGATTAGTTACCTGGGACGAAAACAAGCGAGGAAATAGTGATACTAGGGTTTCAATGACAGTGAAGATTGGCGATAACCATCAGCAGCAGCACCACCACACTGATACAGAGGGGGGGAGGAGGAAGAGCTCTTTGTGTGTGCAGGGAGGGGGGAGACGTCCGGCGGTGCCCAGAGATTGAGAGAATAAATTACTGCGATAAATTTGGAGATTGAGAGTTTTAAGCCTTAATGATAATATCAAAATACTCAAAAATTATGAACATGTGTCGTTTGTGTATATATTTCTCATTCTTTTTTTTGTTTATCACTTTTTAAAACATACCGACTTTTACTTATTTTCGGCGGTAACAAATTGAAACGCTGAGAGGTGGTCAAATTTTTTTTTTTTTTTTTTTTTTTTGAGAAATGGTCAAAGTATGTTTTTAGGAGAATGAATCTCGTCAATCTTTTATGATTAAAAAAAAATCGTCAATCTTTTTAACTACGCACTTGCTTGGTATTCGATTGTTATTATTACTCCATGTCTCCATATCAACAGATTAGTTTTTATATGTGAGTTGCGCGTTTGAGTAAATGTTCAATGGTATATATGTGAAATATATTTTTTAAATCTTTAGTATAGAATAAGAGTGAACTATTCAAATAATATATAATGTGAATGAATCACTGCAAACACAAAGTCAATCCATCTCTACATAAATTATTATGGTAAAGGGCATCCAAGTTAAACTCAAGTTCCAATAGCAACAAAGTTACAAAAGTAATATAAAGCCCAATTTTATTATGGTGAAGGGCATCCAAGTTGATTCGTGATATGGGGTTGTTCTCCTTTAAATTTTTATTGTGTTTCCTTTTTTGTTTTTGCTTTATTCGGTTCTAATTTTTCAATCTTGATTTTCAGCCACACAAAAGACAGATGATGGACCGTTAATCTAATAAGGATTGGAGGGGATGGTGTGGCACTGTGCAAAACATATTACACAGCAACCTCAGCTCAACTTCTTTGCAAAGATATAATGAACCAATCGATTTCTTCAACGATATATAGACAATTCGAAAGGATAACACCTAAATCTATTTAGTGGAAATTGTTCAACGTCATGATAAGAAGAGGAAGGGTTGTCCTCAAATGAAGCTGATAAGTTTAGAGATCAATTTTTGGATGATTTTCGTCAAACTTTTACATTTTCTACCAACAAACTTTTATTTCTTACATCCATGTCTTAAAATCCACATTGTACAATTTTCCGGATTTTGGGGGTGTTTGGCGATTGGCTGTTGGTTGTTGGCTGTTGGTCGTTGGCTGAATCTGTTGGCTGATTGGTGACAGCGGATTCTGTTGGCTGTTTTGATTAGCTGATAACGTTAACTGTTTATAAAACAGTGTTTGGTTAAACGACTGTTTGCAATTGACTGATAACTTGTTAAATTACTTTTAAGGACATCAATTATTTTTGTTTGTTTGTTAACTACTTAATCCGTTTTTATTTAATAATTTTTTTATTAACACAAGTAACAATTCATTTCAACATTGTTTTTAAATTTTAAACACAAATAACATTCGTTTTTTGGCAGGACAAATAACATTTGTTTAATAAGTATGATTATGTTTTAACTAATAAATGGAATAATAAGCAAAAAAAAGTACTACGAAAATCCCTGTTTATTGTCAATCAAATGATTCATACCCCTGTTTTCTCTATATTTTTTATTAAACACCGTGCAAGAATACATCTTAGTTCATCCGTTCATTCTTTTTTGTCCTATTGATTTAAAATATCAAACTAGTTTTCTCCTTCATCTAGATGCAATTTAAATATGATATCCAAAAAAATATAGTGGCCTGCGTTATGAGTATTCTAGCTTTAGACAATTATTGGCATCATAGTGGGTTTTCTCCAAGCTTTTGGTTGTAATTAATAAGGTATGGAAGACGAGTTGCAAGTTGACGGAATCATGAAAGAAAGTGAGCAGTGCGGACATGATGGGAATTTGCGAACAACCAAGTCCAAAACGCTATGTTTGTTAGCTTTTCCAATTTTGGCTGTTTGAGATAAAAGGCCAAGTGAAAAAGTTAATTAACCAAACACCTCAATTAGTTATCTATTTGGTCAAAAAGTCAAATAGTGGTCAAATCCGCCAAAAAATGGCTGATAGGCCATTAACCAAACACCCTCTTTATCCACTTCACGGAGGGGCTACAATCCTTCATTTTTGGTCAATTGACTCCTCTTATTAATATTTATTCTATTATTGAAATTTTTTATGAGTTAATTGATTCCAATGTAAATTTAGATTGGATTCCTCTTATCACTCCATTCTATTAAATATTCCTCTTATTTATCCATCCCAACATATGATTCCTTTTAGTAATCCAGTCCATTTTTTTTTTATTTTTGCAGCATATAAGTTTACTTGGAGGTTGTTGCTAATGAAGGTGGTGGGTATTGCTTTCAGTTCAATTTATAATTCTCTATCTTGCATCATTTTTATTGTTATAGCACTTTACAAATCCATACTTTACTTAATTTATGTGCTAGAATAAAAGATTACATAAATGATACAGAAAACTAAATAAGTGTAATTTGGATTGAATTCTATTATAATATATTTTACAATTTATTACAGCCATTAGTACATGATGTAATTTTTTTTATTTTTCTATAGTCCCTTGATTCAAGGGGGTGTTCTTTAATCATCGTTTAGAATAATCAGCAAAGTGAACTACTTTGTTGTGTTATTAATGTGCATATTACTCATTTTGTATGCACCTGCCTTTTAAAGAATTGATTTTTTAAATGAAATAGGCTTAAATTGATAACACATCATTCATATAGTAGATAATCCGACAAAAAGATTCCTGACAACCGTCGTCCCTTGAACCAGACTCAGAGTTAATCACCTAAGAAGAAGCAATATAACTCGTTGATCCATTAATGACACAATTGAGCCAAAGACGGTTACCTTACTCCTTCCATCACCCACATCCAAATCCACAGTCTTACAGCACGGAAAAACAAAAACAAAACACACCCCACAACAAATGAAACTGTCATGCCTAAAAAAGGAAAAAACTACAAATAAAAAACTCTTATCCCAGCATGCCGAACAGCACGAACACCCATAGCTCTTGTCCCGATACTGACTGAATCCTCTTCGGCGGGCTTACTGGTCGAAGTTCGCCCCTTCCCCGTTTTTTGTCTCGTCAAGAGCCATACTGTCTTCCCTGAGTTTGTCCTCTCCCTCTAACTCCCATATTCGTCTTCGTTTCTGTTCCCCCGATGCTTCCTCCTTTGTTACAGGTTCCACACCTTGTGTTGTACTCTGCGCTGATTCAGATATAGACTCCTTCCCCTCTCCTCTCATCCTACATTCATATTTATTATCCCCTTTATTCATGCGGTCTCTGCCAGAGCTCGATGAACCGTTCACTAACCATTTGCTTCCTCCTGTTGGGCTAGTCTTCACTCCACCACCCGCTCTAAGTTGGACTTCGAAATTCTTTTCTAGAACAAGATCCTCTTCATAGGTCAGAGGGCAAAATTTATCTGAATGCCCAATTAAACCGCATATAAAACAGAAATTGGGCAACTTTCCATACTTAAAATCCACCCAATATCTTCTTCCTTCTTTCTTAAGATTGGTGCCCTTTTTCAAAGGTTTTTCCACATTCATACTCACCCTGATTCTCATATAAGATTCTCACTTTTCACTATACTGATTATCATCATATCTTATAAATTTGCCAATAAAATTTCCAACTCGCTTGGCAGTACCTAGGTTCACAAGACTATAGGGTGCATTATGCACTTGAACCCAAAATTCAGCCTCATTTAAAACAATTTTATGCGGGATATCATCTAGCTTTACTTCTTTCAAAATCAACAAATTACGCTCAAACTGCCAAGGACCACCATCTAGCACACGTTTCATATCAACATGATGATAGAAAGTAAAAGGATACCTTTTATCGCCAACCTCCTTAATCGAGATTCCTTTCCCTGGGCTCCAGAGCGAGAACATGAGTTCCTTAAAGGCTGGAAATTTGATCTTCCTATCTGTCAGCAACACACCCACCACCGGAAACCCCGGACTGTTCTCCTCTACCGGCACATCCTCAACATCAGCTTCTTCAAGGTCCAGCTCTTCTTCCTCTGCCCCAATCACCATTTTTGTACTTATCAACAAAGCTTTCCATGTAATCTTGTAGTCGTACCCTCCTATCTGAAAACCGCCGCCGCCCAGTCGGAATTACCACGAACCAGTCGCCACCAATCGCAGAGCCGAGCCCTTCAAAGATTGCCGAACTCTACCTCTGTGCTCGACCGAATCAGCCTTCCCGGCCAAATTCCAAAAATGAAAATCGCAACTCCACAAACAAGGCCGGAAAAGCCCCTGCCCCGCCCCTCGGCAAAGCCGATGACGGACAATCCTAAGCTAAGGAGAAATTGTGCGGTAACCCTAGATGAAAATATAAAATTTTCGCCTTTTAAAGAATTGATTGAAATGGGTTGTTTCCCATGAATAAATGATGATTGATATATTCCAGAAAAATATTATTCAATTTTGACATACATGATTGATCATCTTTAAATCGTTATCATCTTGACCTATTGAAAAAGCAAGAATATCAATAACACATATTGGTGGAAAACTATGTTAAAAATGAATATATGCCGAAAGTTTTTAATTAGTAGTTTCTATATTTACAATATGTTTATGTTCAAAATATATAAAAAAGTATGTCGCTTTAATAAATGATAAGATTTTTAAACTAATTACTAATGCAATTAATCAAGGGTCATGTACAAGAAATAAAAGAAACGATTTCATCATGTGAGTAAATGCATGATAGTTGTTTTTTTACGGGGCATCATAATGGCTGAGTTGCTTATTTGTATGCATTTGTTATTATAGGTTAAGATCATTCACATGTTCATTTAGGAAGCAGAATTAGACTTTTGGAAGTGACATAAAGTAGAGGTTCCTACATTACTAATTACTTATTCTTTATTTACTTTTGAGAATAGTTAACTAAGAACTTCTTTTAAAGAAAATAAATCATGTAATTATTCCTGCCTAAAAAGAGGCTTTCTCATGCATGTATGGAAGTTCTTAGTCAACTTAATCGACTAGTTGGCTTATTAATTTATTAGAAATTGTTAGTCAGCTAATTGGCTTAAAAATCAAAGATGGAAGGTTATTTATAAATAATGTAAATATGCGAAATAGCACAGTGTAAACCGTTACCACAGTTTC